GTCCTCAATATATTCTAGTACATTCGACAAGATGGTCGTGGAGATATGAGTTATGATGTTGCAAAGAATTGTACTCTAGAAGTCCGTGCAAACCAAATAAATTTGTTTGCATCATGGGCTTAAAAGATTTTCCAAGATAAACCTGCAGGAAAAAATTAAATCCTTAAAGGGGAAAGGATCTTAAAGCTATCCCTTATCTTCATTATGTAGATAAGTTCCTAACACCCAGGGAAGAATAATTGTAGCTGCCATTTATTGGACATCTATGTGCTTGACATAAATTCTCACTCAATCTATATGCTAACTGGTGAGGCTGCAGTTATCATTCTCATATTACATATTAGAAAAAGCAGGACTGAGAAAGGCTTAGTAAATTTCTCAAAGTTTTACAGCCAGTAAATGAGAGAGGTAAATTTGACTGCAGGTTAAACTTCCAAGTCACTTCCAAAATATTAATAGTAACATTAATAATATCCAATAAACTTCCAATAATATCCAATGTTATCGATATGCATTGCTACTTGCTAAAGATCACATGGGAACCTAGTAGCAAAGCCAGGATAGGACCATGTTGTTGTTGTTGTTTTAAATTTGTTTATGCATACAAGAGCTGGGGCACAGGCCAGAGATCCAGGGAGTGAGAAGATTCCCCAGAGACAGAGTGAGGAGCAGAACTGGCAGATCAACTGAAACACCCTACTGAGGAGAGCAGCAGGTGAGACAGGAGAGGTCTGCTGCACCATGTGGGTCAGCTCCCTGGCTGGGGATCAAACTCATGCTTCATAATGCTGCTACTTAACCCTTTGTGCCACCAGGGAGGCCCATATGTAACAATGACTAGTTTGCTTATGCTGTATAACCATTTAAAATGATAATTCATAGAAGTGAGTAGTAATATGGAATGTTTATGCTAAAACATGACCCAAAACAAAGTAGGATACCAAACTACACATTTAATTTAATATACCTGTTAATATGCATTATGTATATGAGCAAAACTGGGAAATAGTATGCAAGAAGATTCTCTTTTAGTTTAGGATTGTGGGTAATTCCCCCCCCTGCACCCCCCCTTTTCAGCTTTCTTTAATATTGATGTTACATTGTCTTTATTATTTAAAAGAATGAAGCAAGACAAATGTACAGAGAGTCTACTCAGAGTTAAAAGATCTGACTTTTTTTCCCCCCAATGTAAGATGTGTCTTTGTTATTCATAAACCTAAATTTCTCAATCTTTACAATGGGTTAATTCTAATTTCCTTTACCCCAGATGGACAGAATGTTTACTTTATAAAGCTTTTAACTCAATGAATACAAGGTTCCTATCAATGCAATCCTGGGAGAATGTGAGATGGGAGGGAAAGAAGAGGTAAATAGGCACTAATTAATTTTAAAAGAAGGTTATGTGCTTTAATTGGAAGTGCATATGTGTCGTGACCCTAGTCAAAGTTTTAAGTGCACTCCGTGTTAGTTAGCAACTTCATTTTAAAGTATGGTGTGATCCTCTAGGCTTTGAAGATATGAAGTCTATATGCATACACATGAGCTAAACTGACCACATAATCACAGGCAGGGCGCACTCTGCATAATTAAATGCACGGAACAACTCTAGCTGATGGGTGATGATGTGTAAGAAAGAGAAGCACAAAACCACGTGATAAAAGAAACTACCAGACGTTTTGAAATGGTGGTTTAATTTCCAAGCTTTCTTTTTTAACTTGTGCTTTCTCTTTAGCCTTCACAGGCAAGTAAAAGAGATTTGATTATCTTGTTTCCTGTGAAAGCTTATTTAGCTCCTCAATTCCATTAAGTCACTTTCTGCACTCCAGTGCTTCGAGACTTCAGACTTCACCAGGTTATCAGCCCAGGAAGAGTAAATGGAGACACCAGGATCAGTTTCTAAAGGAAGGAAAGTTAAAGCAAAGTTTGTAAGGGGTGACAGCCGGCAGCCATGAGCTTAGGGACTCAATTAGACAAAAAGACAAGGATCTCATTATCTCCTTCAAGAAAAGATCTAAATACATAAGAACCTAAAAGTTTTAAATAAACTTGTCCTACTGACTGTCTAGATGACTGAATTTCCCCTCTCAAAAAATTTTTAAACACCCACTTTCATATTTATTTATTCTAAGCGCAAAGCAGCTGCAGTAATTATGCTGTCAGATTCAGTAAGCTAATGAGGAGTCAGGCCCAAGGAAGGCTTTGCATTCGTGAGATTCCTGCAAGAGAGCTGCTTGCTACTTTTATCGTCCTTTCTCTTTCTTTCCTCTTTTATTCTTTTTTGTTTACTTTCTCTTTTTCTGAGTTGGGAAGGAGACCTAGGCAATCTGTGACTAAGCTGGAGACCTTGGGTACAGTGGCTTGCCAGGCACTGTTCTGCCAGGTAATGCCCCTGGGACCTGCTTCTCTCATTCCCTCTCCATCTCCCCTGCTCCATTCCCTGTCTTTCCACACCTTCTTCCACTTCTCCTTTTCCTCTCTCTCCCTACTTTCCTGTGTGGGAGGAAACTCTGCTTGTAGAAACCTGAGGGAAATCCCAGCCCTTCAAGTCACTGTCCCCAAGGCAAGAGGATGCTTCTCCCTGAGGAAAGTTCCCAAAATGGCTTGGTCCTGAGCTGATTTGAGGGAAATCTGTAGTTTCTGCAATGTTTTTTGTTGAGCTATGGCATGAGCTAGCAGAGAGCTGAATACAGAATTCCATGTAATAATGTACCTGTGAAATGTGTCGTGCTTAGCAACAAAGCGCGATGCCTCTCCTTTGCAGCCTAACAGGTAGGTAGCTCCAAGCTTCAGGAGCCAGGGCTGCGAACCACAGCCTCTCAGGCAGATGTCTAGGTCACCAAAGGTGAGCAGCACTACAGGGGTCTTTTTTCCCTCTGGGAGTGAGCAGCTTCAAGCAAACAGTGTCATTAAGGCATCTTACGTTTCCGTCCAAAGCTAGAAACATCACTTTGTGTTAAATTGTGCAATAAGCAGATTGTGCATCTTGGGGACACACTGCCCACATGGAAGGGTGTTCTGAGCAGGTTTTGTGGGTGTGCCTAGGGGCAGTGTGGTTGCTGCCTTTGCTGTCTTTCTCAGGTGCTATCTTCGCTGATCCTTGTCACAAAGGCTACTAGTTACTACAGATATATTGTGTCAGGAGCAACACAATGTTTTGCATACATTAACTCCTAAAAAAATTTTTTTTAATGTCACATATATTTATTCCCTCCCATCCCATTACAGTCATGCAGGTATGTATATAACAATAACAACCCTTTCTACTTTTTTTTTTTTAGATTTTAATATATTTTTTAATTATTTATTTATTT